GGCGGGGGGCTCCTGGGAAAGGGGGGAGAGTCCCTGCTCCGAGGCTGGGCTCCTGTGAAAGAGGAGAGTCCCTGCTCCGAGGCTGTCAGGGCAGCGCCTGTCACGGCACAGCTGCTGGACACAGATCAAACCCCTCCGGGCGCAGGGCCTGTGCTAATTGGTAATTAGTACAGAGCTGCAGAGACCTCTTTTGAAGTTGCTGCGGGCTGTGCAGTTTGTTATCCAGGCTGGGCTGAGATGATAGATTTAAAAAAAACAACCCCAAACCCTGATTTAAGCCAGGTTTAACGTACAGAAACAGGCAGTACTGCCCACAGCTGTGGGGTGGGGAAGGCACGTAAGGCAAGTGCACTTGTGTGTGTGCAGAGTTTTAGATTCCTTTTTTAAACACGTTTAATCCCCTGGGGCAGCAGGCAGGCCTTCTCTTTTTTTGGTTTTTTTTTTTTCCTTTTTTCCCTTCTCACAGTTTGGAAAATTTCCATCTGCTGAGAAGCAACGAGGCTGTAAAAGTGGCACTGCACACATTACCGCACAGTTTTATAATTTGCTTTAAGAATTGTATTTCTGTGTCTATCTACAGCAACTGTTTAAGTTAAATGAGTACAGATTAACAGGGTCAGATGGAGCACCTCAAAACAGACTTCCATCAACAACTGCATATCTTGGACTTTAACACCAGTGCCGCCCTGTCCAATACCTCCAGTCCCTTGTTTTGCCCAGATAGGCTTGTGCTGTGTTTGCACACGTACCAGGGGGAAAGCACAGGCTGTTGTATGTCCAACTGAAAGCGTAACTACTTGCATCATAGAAACTAAAGATCACGTTTCTGGTCCTGACTTGCAAGGGCACTTGAACAGCCAAACCATCACCAGTATTTTTACTTACCTGGAAAAAGCTTTTGAGAGTTGAATTTGATAGGGAACAAACGCATTAATTAGTTTAGGATTTTGGATTAACCTTCCAATTCATATTGGAGATACTGGGAAATCTGAATACAGGTAACATTTTGTGTTCTCCTTTCAAGCTGACAGAAGTGAAACCAAGTGTGAGTTTTGTAAGTTGGCAGGCTTTCAATTTTGTTGTGCCGAGTTCACAGAAGGAAGTTAACATACTGTTGTTATGAGTCAAGGGTAACAGAAAAGAAAAAAACAACTCAAGAAAGTAAATATGGCTTTCAATACCTGTAAGTATACTGAAATAAGAATGTGATGTTGCTGTCACCCAGCAACAAAATGGAAAATCTTAAAATTCCAAGGGATCAGTTCCACTCACCTGGTGGTCTAGCCCACATTCCTCTGGTACAAGAGCAGCGATTCCCAGCATGTTCAGGCTTTTGTCAGGCTGATGGTTACTCTTTAAGTGCTAAGTAAAGAAAAAGGTTACTTCATCTGAGAATTGCATGAAAGGTAAACCAAAAGCATCTAAAACAACATGCTCTGAGCTGTGAACAACAAGTTTAAGGTAGGCCTCCCAGATGGCTCATGTCACAGCCATTTTCTGCTAATGCAACCACTTCAGTTACCTTGGACTGTGTGTTTTTGCAACCACCCGGATTCTGTCTAGTAATTTTAAAAGGCAGTTTTAACAAATACTTCAGATTTACAGATGTAGTTGTGATGGGCGTGGGGAAACTACAACAGCAAGGCACTCCAGCCCAGAAGTACAGCGTCTCTGGGGTACATGTTTTGTTCTTTGCTGCTCAGTTATGTCACACCACTCTGCCAACTTTTTTTTTTTCCCTCTGGCATTCATGAATATCATGTTTCCTATGCAGATGAAAAAAAACTCCTTAAAATCTATGTGAATATATTTCTCCCCTCTCAGGACCCACAGTGCAGATGTTTCAGCAATTGTTTGAAGAGTATGCATGCAAAGCTCATTTTCACAACCTTACCTCATATTTTCACAAATTCACATTTTAGCTGATATGGAGCAAAGTCACTATCACTCTCATTTGCTCCATTCACAACCTCTTCAACTTTTGAAAAAGCAGGATATTATTACGCAGGTGGCCAGCAGAAATGCCTTTACCTTGATTTATCTGCAGTACTTCCCATGAGATGTGGGCTGGTCCATGTAGGATTGTTTCTCGGTGAGTCATGCAGATTGCTCTGCAGTTTCTTCCAGGCAGTGCTGTGCTATGCACGATTAGCGGGCTCCGATGGTGACATTGTTTCCTGAATGATGTAACTGAAAATTCCCCTTCCTGTGCTTCTTGTTTCCTGATCAGTTTTCTCTTTGTTCTCGAAGACATTCCAGCAGCTGCGTTATCTTCTATTCCTACGAATCTCTGCAAAGACAAGTTATGTCAACAGCTACTTTAATTAATTTGGTACGAAACGGAGGGTATCAAGTAAGAAGGAGAGCTGTGCTGACGTCCCGCCTCTTACAAGAGGAGAAGCGTCCAACAGCTGCGTGCTACAGCTCCACCTCCGAGCGCAGGGCTTCCCGCTTTGATCCAGACGGGAGCGGGCGACCTACCACATGGGACACCTTTGGCATCTGGGACAATCGAATTGATGAACCTATTCTCCTCCCACCGAGCATAAAGTATGGGAAACCAATTCCAAAAGTCAGCCTGGCCAAAGTGGGCTGTGCTAGCCATATCGGGAAGCGGAAGGAAAACGAAGACCGGTTTGATTATGCTCAGCTGACAGAGGATGTCCTATACTTTGCAGTGTACGATGGACATGGTGGGGCAGCAGCAGCAGACTTCTGCAATAAGTACATGGAAAAATATATTAAGTAAGTGTGCATCAAGTGAATGTGTGTCAAATTAAATACAGTAGAGACTCTTTCCTTAGGACTGAAAGGGAACTGGTGGGTCATACATTGACGCTAGTCCTCGTAGGTTATATAGCCACCTAGCTCAACGGGCCAGCAGGAACACTGGACTGGAACAGTCCCCGTTACGACAGACATGCTCTGAACTACTTATTCTGTAAAGTCCCTGCTCCATGGAGCAAGCCCGCAAAGACAGGAGAGGAAAAATGCAATTGTACCCACGTTCCAAGAAAAAGGGCTGAGAACACAGAGTGTGAATTGTTTTCAGACAGGGTCACTGTGATTGCTGACCTACAGCTTGCTTAAACTCTTCTCTATCTCTGTGTCACATCCCTGCCTGCTGGAAGAAGAATTTTATCTATTTGCAAAATTACAGGATTATGCTTCCAGTGCAGGTCATTAGTCAAATCGTATTACCTTTTCGCTGAAATCCAGCACTGTTCAATACATACACAGGGAGGAAATAAGGCTATAGAAGAGATCAATCAAGACATGTATTTCTTGGAAATAAGTTAAATTTTTTGTTTCCATATCTGTTTCCAGAGAATTTCTTGCTCAGGAGGAGAACTTGGAAAATATTTTGAACAAAGCTTTTATAGAAATAAACAAAGCATATGAAAGGCACGCTCATCTGTCTGCTGATGGTAAGTAAAAAAAATATTCTACTTGTATGGGTGTGGGGGGGAATAGTTTTTTTTTAATTTGCTCAGTAGTTTTGTAGTAAAATGTCCAGAAAAACACTTGAAAACAGTTTTACTTAACATAGGATTTTGCTCTGATCACTTACTGCAAATGAAGCAATTATGTTTTACCTCCTTAAAATGAAAAAGCTATAAAAAGTGTAAAGTTAGCCAAGAGGGATTTAGATTTGCAAGAAGCATAAATATACTGTGCAAGTAACCTGAAGGGGAGGGTTGGTCTGTGTTTTTTGTGTGTTGTTTTGTTGTTTTGGGGTTGGTGGGGTTTTTTTGGTTGTTTTGGGGTTTTTTTGAAAACCTGTTATTTCTGTGGGTTCAAAGCATCAGTGTCAAAAGTTCCCCTTTCTGACTTGTCTGCTGCACCTGAGGAGGAACAGAAGCCAAAATTCATACAATTGATACTGCTTCTGCACAAACAGAATCCCAGGAGTAGCCGAGTGCAAAAGGGAAAAAAGCAGTGAAGAGCAAAACAAGGTTGGCTGTGGTAAGGCTGTGGTAAAGCTGGCACCAGCCCTTTCAGACTTCTTAGTCCTGACTGTTAGTCAAGCTCTTGTATGTATGTCTGGAGACTAAGTTCCAGTTCCAGCAACTGGAGCTTACAGAGAGTAATTTGGGAAGGGAGACAGAGGTCCCAGTTTTGTCACAGGAGTTCCCTCAGCCATGAGATACAATTTTAAGAGTCAGTTCAGCCAGTCTTAAAAAACAAAACCAAACCCCCACAACAAAAGACCTGTCCCAGTGCTGGTGCAAGAGCTGGCAACACAACTGAGGTCATTTCAGAAGAACAGACACAGTGAAAGTTCTATCTCCAAGACAGACTTGAAATCAACAAGCCCTCTAGGGACTGAAGTGATACTGTGTTCTCAAGTTACTTTTCTTAAGCAATGAATGAATACTGTCACGTAGTGGAGCTGCTTCCTGCACTTGAACTGCTGGCTGGATCTAGGTAGACTCATATTTCCTGGCAGGACAGGTAGCCGGCCAGCTAGCCTGACTGCTGAAGCACTGTGAGGGATGCATACCTTTCCTCTTACCCGGTACCAGGCAAAAAAGTCTTAAGTTCTGAAATACAACCCTTAAAAGAAAGGGGATTGAATCTATAAAGCTCATTTCCCCATTATATCCCATTTTATTTTTTAATATTGAAATACTTTAAAAAATAATGATGTGGTAAAAAAGCCCAGAGTCACTTTTGACCTACAGGGTCAGTTTTAACTGAGCTTAGGAGAGACGTATCAGCAGAACAGCTGTGCTTTCTATCCGAGAGCCTCCTTGTAAATATGTTTTCTTAAAAGCCCAGATGCAAGAAAGCACCTAAACATGGGCTTAACTCACTTCTCTGATTTATGACCTTTCATTTTCACTAATATGAAGATCTGTTATATTTGTCCCATCCCCTACCCCGTTGTTAGTTAGACAGCTCTTGCTTTGGCTCATGGAAGTGACCTCTGTTAGGTGTCAGAGCAACTCCCCGAGGAGAAGGACTGGGAACCACACTCATTGTCTTATTTTGTTATTCTGGAAATGGTTTCCAGTTATAGCATTTTGTACGTGAGACTTATGGAACTGGGTAACAACAATACTTGACAGACAAGTTGTGCAGCAAGCTGAGCATTTTGGAACTGCTTGTAAGATTTTTCCAGCTCATTTAACTAACCGGTGCTGCTTAATGAAACATAACACAAATGCCAGCAAATGTACCTAACAGTTACCAAGATACTGGACAAACCCTCTTCATTAAACAAATTTGAGGGGCAAATAGAGGGCAAAAGCATTGTCAAAAATCCCCAGGGGCCACACTCTGCCAAGCATTTGGTGTTTCTCAGGTAGGCCGAGCACCTGCAAGCTCTCACAGGAGCCAGGAGGATCTGAAAGAGCCCAGGGCTCTTGACTGGTTGCCCAGAAAATCAACCTGTAAGGG